ACTTGAGGGGCCTATCTTGCCTTAAAGTAGCCCATTTAGTTGTTCTTATAACCATGGTTTTGAGTCTATGAAGTTCCTGAGCTATTGTTTGTCTGTGAAACTGTGTGTTGTTCCTTCTGTTATAAATGAGAGTCTCGCTGGGTAAAGTATTTTTGGTGAGGCATTTGTTTCATTGAGTTTTTTCACTATGTCCCACCACTGTTTTCGGGCCATGAGGGTTTCTTCAGAAAAATCAGCTGTGAATTTTAAGGATGCTCCTTTGTAAGAGATTTCTTTCTTCGATATTGCTGCTTTCAGAATTTTGTCTCTGTCTAAGGTTTTGGTCATTTTGATCAAAATGTGTCTTGGGGTATTTTTATTCAGATTTCTTCTAGCTGGTACCCTTCGGGCCTCCTGAATGTGGCTACAGGTTTTCTTCAGCTCTGGAAACGTTGTAGCAATGAAGTCTTTGACAGTTTCTTCTTCATCAAGGTTTTCTTCCCGTCCCTCTCGGACTCCAATAATTCTTATGTTACCCCTCTTGGCTTCATCACGGTCTTGTCTTGATATCTGTTCCCGAACTGTGAGTGTCTTTTCCATTTTCTGCTCTTTTCTGGAGAGTCTCTGAACTTCATCTTCGAGCTCACTGATTCTGTTCTCAGCAGCTGTTACTCTGCTGCTGAGGCCTTCCACTGAGTTTTTCAATTCGCCTACCAGGTTTTTCAGGTCTGACATTTCCGATTGCACTTTCCTCATTTCTGCCTTCAAATCCTCTCGTCTTTTATTGGCATTGCTTTCCATTGTTTCTTTTAGCTCCCTAAGCATCCTAAGTAGCTCCCTTCTGAATTCCTTGTCAGAAAGGTTGTCTAACACTACAGTACTGTTGTGTCTTCTGGGCTAGACTCTTCAATAAGAAAGTTTGGTGGGCTTTTGCGTTGCTTTACCATTGTGACCAGTTTGGTATCGACCTTCACGTTCACTGTTACTATTCTGCTTGATATGCAGAATGAATTGAGATAGGCTTAACGAGTTATTGGTCAATGTGTTTCTAGTGGTTGAGCTAACTTAGAGAAGGTTCCATCTAAGAGGGTAACTTATGGTTCCTATGGGATATGTAGTGGGAGAATACTTCGCGGCCATGTTAGTGGCCACGACTCCGGAAAGGGTCCCTGGAGCTGGGCGCCAGGCAGTACAACTGTACCTCATGGTGTTTCACTAATAAAAATTAAAAAAACATTACAAGTATATTTTAGAGTAATGGACTCCATAAAATAGTTAACTCAGAAAGAAGGTAAGCAGAATAGCATAAACATTAATTAAGTTAATTTTTTTTGTGTGTTTATCACACAACTAAGACAGAGTAATAAGTTAGCATTTATTTAAAAACGGATGGACAAAGAAATAAAGTATTTGTTCCTGGAATTTAAATCTCACCCTAGTCAATATTTGGCCTTGAGGACTTTATCTGTGTTTCCTAAGTTTACTCATCTGTAAATGGTATAACTGTGCCCACTTCTTTTTATTACAGAGACTTACCTAGGTGATATTGATTAAATAAATTAAACACGTGGTTTTCTTTTGTGTGTTCAGAGATTGCTAAGCGATCATTCCTTGTCGGACTCTGGGGAACAGCAGGGGTTTCAGGGAATGAAGAAAGATATGTGGTGCCCAGGATCAAATCTTTTCAGCCACTTGTAAGGCAACCACCCTACCCACTGAACTATCACTTGTGCCTTCGGTTAAACACTTGGAATAGGGTGAACACTCAACAAATGGCAGTTATTTCAAGAACTCATTTGAGAGCAACTGATTTAGCTAATTCCCAATCAAAAAGAGTTAACAATGAAATAATCTTGAGATATCTCAAAATAAACCAAACTTATAATTCTATAAGACACTCCCCCAAAACTGTCCTTTATTTTGAACGGAACATAAATATTCTGCTACTAAGCAGATCTCTTAGCATCTTCATGTTTGGAGAGCCAAATGCCCAAGTTTGAGGAATTTATAAACAACAGAAATTTATTTCCCACAGTCCTGAATGCTGGGAACTACAAGAACAAGATGCTGGCAGATTTGATAGCTGCTAAGGATCTGCTTCCTCATAGACAGTTTTTTTCTTTCTGTAGGATATGTGCAAGAGGGCAAAAAAACCTATCTCAGAATTCTATTAGGGCACTCATCCCACTCATTTCTTCAACGCTCTTGAAGGCGTTCCAAGCCTTCAAGAATCTGGAGTTCCGACCTTCGTCGACAATCAAGAATCAGGGATGCTGTCTCGTTTGCCAAGGCATCAAAAATCAGATGGGCTGGTCACGTAATGAGATTTAAAGACGACCGCTGGACTAGAGCTGTTACTGACTGGATTCCACGGGATGTCAAAAGACCGCGTGGCCGCCCATCTACCAGATGATGAGACTTCTTCATCAAGATCATGAACGATCGGTTTGAGGTTCTTCGTGTTCCTAGAGTGAACAGATGCCATTGGGCTATACTAGCACGTGGCAGGGACAAATGGAGACGTTACTGGCGCCCGCTCGAGGAAATCGACGATTAATGGGAAGTCAAGTGGTCAAGTGATCCCACTCATTAAAGTGCTGCCATGTTGACCTAATCACATTCCAAAGGCCCAACCTCCCTGTATCATCACCTTGGCAGGCAGGATTTTAACACAGGAATTTGAGGAAGGCAAACAGTATGTACTGAATGGTAACTCTAATAAGCAAAGTTCAAACTCATAAAAATAGAAACAGCTGTTCACCTTCGGTTGTTTAAAGCCTTGGCTCTTTGACCAAATGCACAAATAAATCATGAAAGAGACTGCATAGTATGAGTGGTACAGAGACTCCTTTTAGCAGTTTAAAAAAAAAAAAGGAAACACTACTCGGTATTAGCAAATTCTCTTGAGACCTACACAGTAATAGATATATTGTGAAAGTAAAGATCCCACCCCAAAGCCACATGAAGAAATGTCTGTAAATTGAATTCTTATGCTTTTCTTTGGAGACTGTCTCAACTAGCTAAAAGTCAAGTTAAAAATAAATCCCATAGGATTTGTTTTAGCATAACTTTAAATAACCAAGAGAACACTTCCCCCAGGTGGTGATCAAATCTATTTTCATTGTCATTGGAGGTGGTGGAGGGGGCCCTCTGGACTGTATTGGAGGGATATAGTGGTACTTTGGTGGTGGGTGTGGTGTAGTAACACTTTATTGAAGAGGTGTGGCATTTACCTTTAATACATGCATATACAGTAGTACTGTATAAATCATAAACCATCACGACCATGATCACGATCATTCTGTTGTTCGTGGACTGCCTCAAGCAGGCACCAGTAACGACTCCTTTGTCCTAGCCCTGAGATTTTAAAAAGTGCCATATTCAAGGTTCTTTCAGGGTTAGGAGAATGAGACCCATCATTGTTACTGGTATTTGGCATATTGGGTAGCCACGGGGAGTTTGCCAGACTCTGCCGTGTGGGTAGGATACTTTTGATAAATAAACTACAGCCTCAATTTAAAAAAAAAAGGTGTTGGAAAATAACCTTACTTTATTGAACTACTTTTCCAAGGACAAATTTATGGAGTTTTTTTTTCTTCTGGCCAAATTTTAATTGGTCAGTATAGCGACATATCAAGATCTCCTCTCATGGAAAATTGGAAGATTGCTTGGAACTTATAAAGTTTTTGTCACTGGCGTCACGAATCACAGAGCAGAAAGCACCCGTTGCGCTAGCTCAAATGTTTCTGTTTCAAAATATCGTGCCGTCACTTTGACTCAAAGATATTTTTCTCGTTTTCCATCCTCCATCACCAAATCAGCAGTCCTTCAGGCAAAGGTATAAAACAGGTATCTTTGACGGTGTTTTGGAGAGAGGAGCAGGGACATTCAGTGTAGGAGACCAACCATTAGATCCGCCCCCTATATCCGTCAAGGAGCCCCACCACCTCCCACTCCACCATCCCTCCAGCTCCTCCTGAAGAAACCGGAAAGACCCCGCCCTTGTGGCAGCCGCTGCTGACCTCGATGTGAAATAACCCGGTTGGGAGCCAAACACCGGCACTCGGCAGGGGCAAGGTGAATCGGAGCCAGTCTCTAAACTGCGGGCGCTCAGGCGCTGGCGTCCCTCTCTTCGGCTCCGCCTAACCTAGGAAAAGCTGTGAGCGGCCACTGGGCTCCGTCTGGGGAGGCAGAAGGCGAAGAGCAAACAGACGACGTTCACAGGCTAGCATGGAAACTTCTAGGCCGAATCTGGGAATTCCAGCGTGGAATGCCGCGGGCGGGGATTTTAAGAAATAGCCTCTCGCTCTCCCCCAGGAAGCAGAGTCGCCCCCCCCCCCCCTTTTCCAGTGATGCCAGGGTCTAAGACGGCGAAAGCACCGAAACCGACCAAGTCCCGGGTGGCGGGAGCGACCGTGGAGGCTTTCGGCGGGTGGCTGAGGGGGAAGAGCCCAGCTGTCACACGGACATTCAGCCTCGGGGAGCCGCGATAGGGGAAGGAGGGGCGGGTCTCCCGCGGCCCGCTTGCTGTGGGGGAGGCCTGAGGGGAGACTGGGGCGGGCAGCCAAAGGCTGACTGTTGTCAAGAGGGGCTCCGCCAGCCCCCTCGCCGAGGGGAGGGTTTTTTTACGCCCCCCAGCACCCGAGATCGGAAGGAAGCTGGGCGAGGGATGAGTCATCCCGCCTAGTTTCCTCCTTCCCGCGCCCGTCGCCTCCGCACGCCAGCCCCCTCCCGAAATCAAACAGCGGCGGGCGAAGATTCCTTTCAGCTTGAGGGGAGCGCCGGCGAAATCAGGCCCGCGGCCTGCGGAGGAGAAGAGAAGGACAGGGCACTGAGCCAATGAGAGCCCCGTCATCTCGGCGCCGGTCCAATAGGAGGTTGTTTACAGGCCGGGGCGGGACTAGGAGGGGAGAAGGGGGCGGGCCCGGGCTGGCGCCCCGCGCGGCGCTTCAGTGACTCGCGGAGGGAGCGCCGGGCAACGCCGGGAGTCGGCGTCGCCGCCGCCGCCGCAGCCGCCGCCGCTGGCCAAGGTGCTGGACCAAGACAGGCCGCTCGGCCACCTCGCTAGCTAAGGTAACCGCGGCAGCCGAGGCTGCTTCCCTCTCCGCTGGGTCCCCATGGAAGAAATGGAAGAAGAGTTAAAATGCCCGGTGTGCGGCTCCTTCTATCGGGAGCCCATCATCCTGCCTTGCTCCCACAATTTATGTCAGGCATGCGCCCGCAATATCCTGGTGCAGACCCCGGAGTCCGAGTCGCCCCAGAGCCGTCGGGCCTCGGGCTCCGGGGTCTCCGACTATGATTATCTGGATCTGGACAAGATGAGCCTGTACAGCGAGGCGGATAGCGGCTATGGTTCCTACGGGGGATTCGCCAGCGCCCCCACGACCCCGTGCCAGAAGTCTCCAAACGGCGTCCGTGTGTTCCCCCCGGCGATGCCGCCGCCGGCCACCCACCTGTCCCCAGCCTTGGCGCCGGTGCCTCGCAACTCCTGTATCACCTGCCCCCAGTGCCACCGCAGCCTCATCTTGGACGACCGGGGGCTCCGCGGCTTCCCCAAGAACCGCGTTCTGGAAGGCGTGATTGACCGCTACCAGCAGAGCAAAGCCGCGGCCCTCAAGTGCCAGCTGTGTGAGAAGGCGCCCAAGGAGGCCACCGTCATGTGCGAACAGTGCGATGTCTTCTACTGCGACCCGTGCCGCCTGCGCTGTCACCCGCCCCGGGGTCCCCTCGCTAAGCACAGGCTGGTGCCTCCAGCCCAGGGACGCGTGAGCCGGCGGCTGAGTCCCCGCAAGGTTTCCACCTGCACAGATCACGAGCTGGAGAATCACAGCATGTACTGCGTGCAGTGCAAGATGCCCGTGTGCTACCAGTGCTTGGAAGAGGGCAAACACTCCAGTCACGAAGTCAAGGCGTTGGGGGCCATGTGGAAGCTGCACAAGGTGAGTCCTATGAATATCCACCCCTGACTCCCCGTGCCTGCTTGCCTCTGATTTTGCAGCAGACGGTTGGTCCCTCTGTCTGCTCACGGAGCATCCCGGCGGGGGCGCAATGCAGGTACCGCCTGTGTCTGCTTCCCCCGTCTGGTGCATTGCAGGAAGAGCCGGGGGACCTTAAGCCCTCACAGGGGAGTGGAGTTCCTCCAGAGAGTTGCGGGGACGTCCTTCCAGCGGTTCTCCAGGCGCGCGCAGCCTGGAGTCGGGCGTAGGGCACCCCTTCTCCTCCGCGAAAGTGTACCCTGCGACCCTTGCCACCGAGCAAAACAGCGTTGCATAACTGGACAGAGCCACTCCAGTGGTCAGGCCTGCCTGGCGTTCTCCAAGGGCAAAACCTGACGCTGGGTACCAGGAGCATTTACACAGGGAGGAGATTGGGAGCTTGTTCCGTGGCGCGGCCTAGGGTAGTGGTTGGGAACCAACGCGGAGGCACTGAACTGCTGGAGGAGCCAGATTGTGTGAATCTCAGGGCTGGGGCTGGAAGGCATCAGCAGCGGAATACTAATGTCTGCGCTGGCCCAGACCCTGTGCTCCTGTCTGAGAGGATGCGCTGGGTGCCTTAAGGGTGCTTGGAGCTGGAGAGGCCAAGAGGAAAGTGGAAGGGAGACGACAACAACAACAAAAACCCCGTGGTCGCCATGGCAACGCAAACTCAAAAGCTGTGGTTCCTACCCTAGCTTTTGGGGAAGGGACCTGATACTGGAGCAGTAGAATTAAAGGTTTCTTTGTGATCCTAACCTGAAAGCTAGATAAGCACACCTTTTCTGGGACACTTCCCCCTCCCCTACCTGCGCCTCTGTCTTCCCAGTCATATATATGCCCATTTCTCCAGGATTCTATTCTTTCATCTTTCTTTAGTTGCACGTGGTGCAACTCTGAGACACCTGTTACCGTTTGATCCCTTTTGATGGAGTCTCCACCAAAGCTAGTTTCAAGGAAAGTGCCAGGTTATATGTCAGGTTATGCCATTCCTCAACTCAATCCTCCCACTTTCTCTTATATGGTCCTTAGGGAAGATCCACTAGCACCTACATGACTTGTTCTCCTTTATCTTCATTATTTCATTTCTTCACACTCTTGCCCTCAGTTCCAGCCACACTGTTTATCTTTTTGGTCAACAAGCAACACCTTCAGGCCTTTGCATTTGATGTTCACTCAGCCTGAGATGATCCTTCCCAATACTCCATTTTCTAATGGCTCACATTTTTTGATCTCCTTTTTATGTTTACTCATAAAGTCACATTTGCAGGGAAATCTTCCTGAAGGAACCAGATAATTACTTCCCTGCTTAATTTTTCTCTGTAGCATTTATTACTCTGGCACACTATATATTTTAATGATCATGTTACTTTTGTGTATTGCTTTCTCTTTCCTCGACATACAATGGAAAAAAACTTCATGATGAATGATTGTAACGAAAGACTGCTTAGAGGGAAGAAGCGCATCAAGGTCTGCATAAATCTGACTCTTTTTAAATAATTCACTTAATAGGGGGTGGGGTGTAAAGAGCAAGACAGGGTGTCAAAATTATTGTAAGGACGTGTTGTTCACATTTGGAGTTGCAAGTCCAAAGATTAATGAGCACAGTTCAGATGTTTAAGCCTTAGCTCTGCCCCCAGAGTTTCCTAGCATTTCTTGGAACGAAAAAGGATAACTAAGCAAAGCCACTGATATTTTATTTACAGCAAAAGAAAATATTGACTCTTTTTAAAGAAACAAAATGTCTTCTCAACTCATTATTATTTGAATGTCATTTATGTAATAAGCATTTTGTTATAGTCATTTGTGTTCTCACATATACCCTATTAAACTATGTTAATCTTGGTAGAAATAAAATTCAGCACAGATGTGAGTCTCCTTAGACATAAACCTTTTTTTCCTTTTTCTTTTATTTTTGGTTTTGGGGCCACACCTGGTGATTATCAGGGCTTACTTATGGCTCCGTGCCCAGGGATTACTCCTGAAAGGGTTTAGGGGACCATATAAAATACCAGGGATTGAACCTAGATTGGCTACATGCAAGTATATTCACAGCTACCACACTTTACCACCACCATTGAAGTTCTCCACACTTTACACTAATATCCTTATGTTACTTCCATTCCCTTATGTTGCTCATCAGTTCCCCCATCCATTTCTACTTTGCTATATACACTTATGAATCAGATCATCCACATATCACTATTTTTTAAAACTTAAAAAATTTTACATGACACTTAACTTTTAAAGTTTCCTAAACTTTAGTTCACAGCCAATGGGGATGGTGAAACAAGGTAGCTTTTTTTGAAACTTATTTAGAAAGATAAGAAGGGAGAGAAAGAGATAAGTACTCACTTGAGAGAGAACACAGGCTTCTCCAGAGGAGAAATAAGCAAGAAGAAAAAAAAAACAGAGACAAGCAAGCAAGGTAGATGTTCAAGGGAGAACACAGACTTGAAAAGCAAGCCTCTTTACATTTTATGATTTCACTTTTCAACCACTACAATCTATGTTAAATTGCCCTACAATACTATCCTTGGAATTAATAAATTAATCGTCCAGTCTGGAAAAACAATGTAGAGATGCTAAGAAAAAAACAACATGCCAATTAGTATAGTCAATTGCAGAATTCTTTTTGTGTGTGAAGAGGAGCAATAATTTATCTACTAAGACTGAAGCAGCCTTTCATTGTCAGATCTCATCTATATTTGAAATGATGAATCACTTGTTTTGTTGGTAGTGGAAGTTGAGAATAGTCACTGTGCTGTGGTCTGAGCTGAGTTTTAAAGTCTGATAAAAAATAATAATAAGGATCAGAGAGATACTATAGGGGATAAGGTGCTTGCTGGATATAAAATTGTTATTATAATTATTATATTACAATTCATATATTATAGTTATGAAAAATCACAGTGATGTTAAAGCTTTTGGTATACAATAGTAGAATAGACAGAAAACTATTAATTCATTGTGAAAAGACAATTTTTCTATTATTCTTTTTATGTTTTTTCACAATAATAAGTATAGATTTTGTTCAGTCAATATCAGGGTTATTAAGCTGCCAAGAAAAAATGAGGCAGAAGGATAACAGATTTCAACATTCACTTTTCATCTGTTACATGAACACATGAACAACAAACATTACTCCCTCATCTTAGCTCCTTTATAAGGCATATTATGTGTTAATTATTGAGTTTTTTACATAATCTATATATTCTAGTGAATAATACCTTTATCCCCACAAAAACTCATTGGCCAGAATTTCCATGACCTTGAAAATGTAGATGAGTGAAAAACTACACTATCTAGTTCCCCCAAAGTTGGGCAATTCATTATAAACATAGATTATCCATCCCAGATTTTAATATTTTTTCTTCGTGTTCAGCTATGTTGGTTAATCACTTTTAGTGATTAAAAATAATCTTGGAAATAATATTGCTCTTAAGTACTATACTCTTTAATCTTCCACATTTAAAGAAAATGGATAAAGTTTATTTTTAATTTATCTTGAAACCACTTATTAAAATTTATCAGTTGTCAGTTGATCAAACTAAAATACTTTTCAAATATCTGTGGTCTTCAAAATCCATGAAAAATGATGTGTGAGATGATATTCTAAGACATATAAATGTCTAGTGACAATTTTTATTTAGTATCAGCACCTACTATATTCTTTTACCCAACTTAAAAATTGGAATATAGAATTACTACCCAAAAAAGATTTTGTTGTTTTAAATAAGCAATTAGAACTACAATTTTTACTTTGTAATCCTAGAAACTCACAATCCTAACTTTAATATTTTCCTTAAAGTACTAATACAAGTTTTATCATAGAATTAGTAATATGTTTATGATCATTCTTTTGTATTTGTGCTGTTGAACAAGAATTTTCTTTTCCTTCCTATTCTAAACACTTAATCTTGTCTCAAATATTATTTCTCAGTTTATTTTAAATGAGTATTTGCAGTTTAAACATTTAAATTAAACAAAGTTAACCTTTCATTTTCAAACTATACTGGGAATGGGGCTGGAAGGATAGCACAGCGGGTAGGGCATTTGCCTTGCACGTGGCCGACCCAGGTTCCATTCCCAGCATCCCATAAGGTCCCCTAAGCACCGCCAGGAGTAACTACTGAGTGCAGACTCCTGAGTGCAGAGCAGGAGTAACCCCTGTGCATAGCCGGGTGTGAATCAAAAAGCAAAACAAAACAAAACAAAACAAAACAAAAAAAAACCAACTATACTGGGAATAATCTTTGTTTTGTAATATAGTGGCATCTCATCAAATAATTTTGTAGCAAAATTTGTGTTACATTTAATATAACTAAAATAGCATTCAACTAATTATGAACAGCAAATAATAAAATCTGGATGTTTCTGTGGTAACTATGACAACATAACTTCATTTTTTTTCTATTCACTTGCTTCTAGTACAAATCAGAAAGTTCATGTGCAATGTAAATATACTCACAGGCATTATGAAGAATGTTATGGAAACTGAATTATTCCTTTTAGCACTGATGCATAAGAGAACTAGATGATAAGAGCCTGGGTTTTCTTTTTGTCTTTTTTTCTTTCTGCTTTAAATTTTTTGCTTATTTGTTTTGGGGTTACACCAGCAGTCTCAGGTCTTATTCCAGCCTCTGCACTCAGGGGTCACTCTTGGTGGTGCTCAGGGAACTATATGTAGGGCTGAGGATTGAAGCAGGGGTCAGCTGTGTTCAAGTCAAGTGTCTTAACATATGAATACTTGTGCTAGCTCTCTGACCCAAGTTATCTGGGTTTCTGATACTACCTCTTAATCTCCAGTATCTTTTAGAGGGTCTTCCCAGTGTTTCTTGAAAGCCATCACACTACACAGAGTTCATTTTTTGTACCTGTAGCTATGCATGACACCCCTTTGAGCATGTTCTCCAGCCCTCACCACTCTCTTTAAGCAAGCCTTATAATTTCTCTGTGATTACATG